AAGCTGCGTTCGTTGCAGTTAATGACTGTGTTATAAAACGAGAGCGGATACCAAAAATAAAGGTAATTTTGTTCAAATTAATAATCTTTGTGTTGGTTGATCACGAAAAATCCCATTGAACCACTTGATGGTTAAAACATGACAAGATGTGGAAAAGTTAAAGAGGGTGAATACCTTTTCATGACACTAAACAGTATTTGTGCTTTTTTATAAACGACTTGATGATCTGGCCTCATTTAACAAACTTCCTGTTTTATGAAGACAGGGTGGTCTACATAAATGAGCGACACACGCTGTGCATTCTAAACACATTAATTCCTTTATTCTCCTTGTCTTCTTGTTCTCCTCACTCCCAGGAAAAGTCCAGACCTGTCCCGGTGCGGTCCTCCTCGGAATATGGACGCCGCTCGCTTCTCACCCTCGACCCAACGGCCCGGTCGCACGCACGCGCGTCTTTGACGAAAACTGAGTTTTACATGAAAAATGGGATCATCTGGAGTTTGGAGGAAGGATACGGGTCGGTGGTTCCTACTTAAAAACCTGACATGTCACAGCATGAGGTGAAGGCTCTGACTGTGGAAGCTCTGCATAATAAACCAGTGTTGCACTGTATTGTTGGTGTGATGTCTAAATAGAAGGAAATAATGAAATTCATAATATTTCTCCCATTATTTCCTCTCCCAGCTGTATCACCAATATAACCAGTGATGAATAACATCGTTTAATTATCATCGTGAGTTAGTATCAGGAGGGGATCCCTACGGATGGAGACGCTGACATTTTCCAAAACTCCCAAACCAAATTTCCTCATGTACAGGCGCTCCATTGCAGTTAATGCAATACGAGTGTTCAGCTGAGGAATCATAAAATATCCTCAAGTTATTTCATTTGAAAATCCTGCATGGCAGCCAGGATGAGCCTTTTTTAATTTTACCTCCACCATAATGTTTTGGGTGCCAGCAAAACTGTAAATCTTTGAGCAGTGAACAGTACTGCTGACACAGATGACCAGTGGTTGGTATTAAAAAAACCCCACTGATTTATTTGCAGAAAAGGCTCAGTTCAAACACATTTTTAAAATAAGCAGCATTTAAAAAGAGGAAAGATTAAACAAGTTGTGTGTTTTCGCTGCATTCCCTCATTCTTTATATATGTTTATATATAAAACCTACATGCAGCAGGCTTTTATTATGAACAGAAGTACTGACATGCGCAAAGTGTTAAACTCTTCTTAAAACCACAGAAGAAGAAGTTCTACTTCTGGGCTGAACGTAAACAAACCTGAGCTCCCACAATGGACCCGCGCCAGGTTTTAATGACGGTGGAGACGTTGCTGCACTCCCTGACTGAGCTACAGGTGATACAGATCATTTTGAGCTCTTTCTGTTTCTAGTAGAAAATGTTGTGTCGCTCACCGACCAGTTTTATTTACTTCCCCAACATATTAGCATTAGCCAGGTGGAAACACGTGAGGTAGACAGGTTGTACATGCGCAGTCAGGTCAGTTTTCCACAACTGGAAAAAAATGAACAGATGAAGTGTTTACATGACACATTTTTTATTCCGAACGACCGTTTAATCCGATTACTTATGTCATGTAAACATAGCCACAAGGACTCATTTTCAAGAGTGACCTGTTTGGGAGCAGATGGTGGGAGTTAAGGGTCTTGCTCAAGGGGCCAGGGTGGAGGCAGGTCTGGGGGTTTCACCTCTAACCTTGACCAGTTCAGAGTGCGTTTTGTTCTTCGTGTCTGTCTGGTGTTCAAACTGCTGTGTTGATTTGTGACCTACTGCTCAACGTGACGTTCTCCACTTTAGAATGTTTGGGAAATAGAGCACCATGAAAATGTTGTATTTTAGTTTTTTTTTTTTAAATTTTTTCATTTGAGCCTTTAAAAATAATTGGTTTCACACATGAGGCAGCACGGTGGCGCAACTGGTAGAGCTGCTGCCTCTCAGTGAGAAGGTCCCTGGTTCAAACCCCGGTCCAGGGGCCTTTCTGGGTGGAGTTTGCATGTTCTCTCCGTGCATGCGTGGGTTTTCTCCGGGTGCTCCGGTTTCTTCCCACAGACCAAAAACATGCATGTTAGACTGATTGGTAACTCTAAATTGTCCCTAGGTGTGAGTGAGAGAGTGAATGGTTGTTTGTCTCGTTTGTCTCTATGTGTCCCTGTGATGGACTTGCGACCTGTCCAGGGTGTACCCCGCCCCTCGCACAGTGATTGCTGGACATGGGCACCAGCGACCCCCGTGACCCAAAATGGAACAAACGGGTAAAGAAAATGGATGGATGGATGGTTTCACACATGGAGCAGCACATTGATCTCATTCATTGAACTTAATACAGTATAACTGCGCATGGTTTCATAGACTTACAGATCTCTTTGTTGGCTTGTGGTCATGGAAACAAGCAGTTTTTAGGACTTATTTATGGCTTTAATGTAAATTACATGCAATATTTTAGTGTTAGGTGTTGATTAAGTTTATGTCAGGAAGAAAGTCCAGAACAGTGAAGTTTACCTCCCGTCTGGAAACGATTCATCATTTGGGTTACGCCTCATATTTGTTTTCATTTGCTTTTTGCAAACTCATGAAAGAACTAAATATGTTTTTAGAGTACAAGCTGGTAAATTCTTGAATGTTTGGTTTTGTCAGGATTGCTTACTATTGTTTCTACCATTTGACGGTCAGCTTCTGGTCTGCAAATTCAGCATCAGTATACTGAGTTAAAAATTATTTAGTGAGCCAACAACAGCAAATGCACTGAAGACGACTCAGCTACAACCACACGTTTTAGCTCAATATCTGTAAAACTGAGTTTTTGTGTTTGCTAATGTTGATTTGATGCATCTTGAATATGGTTGCCTATAAAAGTTAATTAGTTGTAAATACATCCATTGATTACTTCCTAAGAATTTTATTAAAGTTTTATTATTAAAATCTGTTTAGTGCTAAGGGCACCATGGTGGCGCAAGCGGCAGAGCTCCTCCCTCTGAGCGAGTAGGCTACCCTGGCTCAAATCCCGGTCCGGGGGCCTTTCTGGGTGGAGTTTGCATGTTCTCTCCGTGCATGCGTGGGCTTCTCCAGGTACTCCAGTTTCCTCCCACAGACCAAAAACATGCATGTTAGGCTGATTGGTAACTCTAAATTGTCCCTAGGTGTGAGTGAGAGAGTGAATGATTGTTTGTCTTATTTGTCTCTATGTGTCCCTGTGATGGACTGGAGACCTGTCCAGGGTGTCCCCCGCCTCTCGCACAGTAACTGCTGGATATGGGCACCAGTGATCCCTGCGACCCAAAAAGGAAGAAGTGAGTAAAAGATAATAGATGGATGGATGCTCAGTGCTCCTGAGATAATTGACTAACAGACAGCAACAAACAGACACTCACACAGGTAACAACAAAATAACTTGCCTTTTGTGGTGAAAGATAAAAAAAAAACTACATACACTGTTACTTCACTCTAGAGTTGCATTCAAGTCCAAAAAATCTGGCCCGTAGCCATCATTTCCAAACCCCACTCGACCTGACGAATTAACAGTATTTACAGGTCCAAACCTGAAACCTCCCCGACATTTTTAATTAAGCTTTGACTGATTATATAATTATTAACGGTCGGAGGATGTGCGCGGCTGAATAAAAGAGGCAGAAGATCGGAGCTATGGGGGTGTTGGTCCTTTCATGGCCGTCAAAGAGCATTAAATCCCTGCATTCTGCATTATTCAGACATGGACCCTGCTCTGACATGTCAAATGTTTTGTGATCTCACCTGTTTGGGTCGTCGGCCGTGCACGTCCTCTGAGTGCAGCGGCTGAATGAACGTCCATTTGGACTGATGGATCGCTGGCAGTAGTCCATCTGAAGCCTAACTGAACTTTTTACTTATTTCAAGGCCGGTCAGAGCACAGTGAAATGGCTGTGTGCGGCTGGTGATAGTATGGCAAGTCATGTTGTCATATAATTGGATCGTCAGCTGCGCGCATCCGCTGATGCAATCAAAAGTCCAACATTGGCCTGGCCTACACATTAAGCACATTATTCTGGCCTGGCTTGGCCCTAATACGAGTCAGGCGGGGGCAGACTCTGGGTTCAGTTTACAGTTTACAATTGACTGGTTTAGTTAAATAATGTTGGACACTATAAACAGAATTTCCTTAGTTTAATCAGCATCGTGGTCCTGTAATTATTTAACTGAACAAGTTTATGACGCCATCAATCAGAGGGAGAAGTTTTTAGGACTTTCAGAACACCACCGACAGAGAATGTGTATTTATATACAAATGTTTAATGAATAACAAAAAGATGACAGTAAACATTTACAGACATGCTGTTGGTTTGGCTCCAGATGACATATTAAAAAAGTAACAATCCTTCTTGAATGACTGATTCCACTTGCTCATGTGGATACAAATGTAGCTATAAAGCTATAAATACAATCACAGGCTTTTGGCGCACTACTCAGCCCGCTGGCAGTTCGTTGGCATCGACAGCTCTATATGACAAAACTATTGTAACGTCCACTTGGAATGAAACTGATTCTTAGTGCCAACCAGGTTGCGATAATAATAAATAAATAAAAAAACAGCTCGACAGGCAGCTCAGTTTGCTCAAGTATAAGGCTGTGAAGCACTGCAACACTGGCATGGGTAATTATCTCCACACCCCCACTATTTTACAGATGGGTGACTGCGGGCCCTTGAGAGCTGCACTAATTTACCAAACCTCTTGTCAGTCAGGCACTCCTTTAAACAGTGAAGAGACTCCTCAGAGGGAAGTACTTGTTACACTCAAAAGAGGCAAAAACCACCCATAGTGCAGAGTTGAAGGACTGTGGAGATGCACCTTGACCATGATCTACGAGTTGCGAAGAACAAAAAGTGGTTCTTGACAATTGTCGATCCATTCCACTGCTGGCTTCTTGTAATGAGTTCTACTTACAGAGCATGAGAAATCAGTCAGTCCCACTTTTGTTTGTGCAATTGTGTTTTCAAGTCTTTTTGTTCTGTTTGTGTGGCGTGCTCAAGGCATCACAGTCCCCTGTGACAGAGATCTGGTCATCTCTGTGTGAACAAAGTAGGTCTTCAGCTCTCCTTTGCCTTTCACGTTGATGATGCCGCGACACGAACACATGTACCCAAGGTTTGTTAGGATACCACTCGTCTCCTCTGTTACCTGCATTGTATGAAAGATACATAAGATTAGCACAGTTTTAGGCAGATTGTGAGGTATTCTGTTATTTTGTAAGACCTTGTACCTGTATTTTGCCCAGCACTCCAGTGGTCTCCATCCTGCTGGCCACATTAACACTGTTTCCCCAGATATCATACTGAGGCTTCTGGGCCCCAATTACTCCTGCAATAACTGGCCCGTGGTTTATGCCTAGCAAAAAGAAAGAAAGAACAGCTTAATTGACTAGATACATTCAAATGTGCCCCATTTTTAGGTTGTGGGAGGTTATTCTTACCGATTCGAAGTTTGAAGTCATTGAAAGAGTGCTTGTTGATGACATCTAGCTTCCCAACAAGAGCAAAGGCAAACTCCACCATAGTGCCTATGTGCATGTACTGTCTGTCATGTTCCTGAGGACAGTACAGAGAGAAGAAAACAACTCAAAGGTGTATTCTGCGCTGTGTATAAGGATCTGTTCAGCTTGAGAAACTGTGGATTAGATGAAAGCATGATGCTCCAGAACAGGAAAGACTATTTCATGGTAGTAAGTATGTTTTCCACTAAAAAGTTGCATTCAGGTTTGTCTGAAAGTTTTTATTTGAGTTTAATAGAATACAAAACTAGCTCCGTGTTTATATATAAATCCATTCATTTATTTTCTTCTGTTATCTGTTGGGTCAAGGAGCTCCTTGACCCAACAGATAACAGGTCCAGGAGGGCAACCAGGACATCCCTCTCCCCAGCAACACTCTCCAGCCTCTTAACAATTTTCAGTCAGGTCATATGGACAGTTTCTTTTTTTGCTGAAATGTTTCACCTTTCATCTGGAAGGCTTCATCAGTCAAGGAAACACAACAGCAACAACAAAAAAAAAGAAACTGTCCAGATGACCTGACTGAAAATTGTTGGATTGTATACCTGGATTATTGAGCATGAACTTTTTTGGTTTGGAACCAGTTTGACATGACTGTCGACAAGGAAGAGGGCTGGCACCAGAGGAGGGGGCGTGCCAAAGACACCGTCTTAGCACCAACATAACTGGTTTGTTCCATTTTGGAGTGAGCTGTTTGGGGGGGAAAAATCAGTTTTGTGTTGTGTATTTCATTGACTGATGAAGCCTTCTGGATGGAAGGTGAAACGTTTCAGCACAAAAAGAAACTGTCCAGATGACCTGACTGAAAAATGTTGGATTGTATACCTGGATTATTGAGCATGGACTTTGTTGTTAAGACATATAGTGTCAATTTTTCAGCAAGTCTAGTACAGTATGTAATCAAAATATATATTTTGATTTGTTTTGTAACTTTATTTTTTGCCTTAAGTCACTTATCTTCAGAGTCAGATAAAAATCAGCAATTAGTGGTAATTAAATTAAAATCAACACCAATCAAGTATAAGAGAGAAGCCTTCTATTGTTTTGTTCTAGGTTAGTACATTGAAAATCGCAATTGTTAAAAAAAACGTTAATAATTAAAAAAACATGTTTTTCTTCAGTGTAAACTCGACTGCATGTTGTAACATCACAACGTGTCGGGTGCAGCAGCAAACACCTAATGGGGAGGTATGAACACTCAATTAAACAAGATCTCCAGCAATCGAGCAGATCTCTTTACAAAGCACCGTACTGCATGATGTCTGAACAGAGCTCTCATTTGTTCACACTGACTGCACATATTCAGAAGCATAACAATGAACCTTCATGCATGGATGATGTAGCTGATCTTGTTGCACTCCCTAGTCTTTAAATATGTTTGGAAAGCAGTTTATATGAAGATGCTTCAGTACCCTGACTGTGTAGCCACAGGCAACTGCACATAATTAGTGGGGGAAATCCAAGGACTAGTAAATTGTATAAAAATAACAATTTAAATGTAAAATAAAACAAAGCTTCTGTGGTTGGTTAGAGCATAGCCAGTGTATCGTTAGTACACTATCAGCAACAGAGCTTGTTCTCTAGTACAGAGGATTGTCTTTACACTTGCTTCTTTTTCAGCTTTTCCCTCTTCAGCGCCACAGCGAGTCATCCTCCTCCACCTCACTCTGTCCTCTTCATCCTCTGTCCTCACTCCATCTACCTCCATGTCCTCTGTAACTGCATCCATATATCTCCTCTTTGTCTTTTTCCTGGCTGCTGCATTTCTAACAACCTTCTACCAATATACCCACTGTCTCTCTTCTGGACATGCCCAAACCACTGTCCCTCCTCTGGACATGTCCAAACCATCTCAGTGTGTCCTCTCTAACTTTATCTCCCAGTTGTTCAACCTGTGCTGTACCTCTGATGATCTCATTCCTAATCTTATCCATCCTTGTCACTCCTAATAACCTCAATATCTTCATTTCTGCCACTCCCAGTTTTGTCTCCTGTCTTTTTGTCCATGTCTCTGTCTCCAGTCCATACAACATAGCTGGCTTTACTACTGTCTTGTAAACTTTTTCGTTGACCTTTGCTGACACCCTTTTGTCACAAATCACTCCTGAAACCTTTCTCCATCCTGCCTGGACTCTCTTCTTCACCTCTTTACCACACTCCCCATTTTCCTGGACAGTGGACCCCAAGTACTTGAAGTCCTGCACCTTTGTGACCTCTGCTCCTTGTAGCCTCACTGTTCCACCTCCTCCCTCTCATTCACACACTTGTACTCTGTCTTACTATGGCTGACTTTCATTCCTCTTCTTTCAAGTGCATACCTCCACCTCTCCAAGTTCTCTTCCACCTATTTGCTGTTCTCAGCTGTTCTAAGTATATAATGACAAAATGAATCACTCAGTACATTGTTCGACTATAAAAAGTCGCTAATCTCCTTTACAACACTTTTTAAATACAATTATTAAATTGTTTTATTTAAAAATAACCAAAAACAGTACATTCAATGCAGACATGTTTTTGTTTTTAGTTTTCTACACTTCCTTATAATCGAGGTGTTTTTTCACTACTTTTTTCCTTTTGACTGTCCTTTTGGTTGCCATTTTATTTTAATTTGTAAAAAAAATAAAATCTGTATGCCTCTTATATGACTGTCTATTGTTGTTGTTGTTGTCCACTGTTGTCATCACTCTTTGTTAAAATCTAGTCTCTCTTGTAAATGAGTCCCCGAGGCTCAATGGGATTAACATGTCTAAATAAAGTTGAAGGAATGAATTCATTGTAGCCATTGATTAATATTTTTAAGGTATTCTACTAATTCAAAAGGCTTTGGTTTCAGGACCACAAAAAATGTAATGTTCCATAGTTTAATTTTTTTAAAAATTAATTAGAAGACTGAGATGTGAAGGTTTCTTTGATTGTATGTCGAGAGAACCCTCACCACCACCACCACCAGCTGTGAGCTGTCACTCATCTGTGCATAATGGCTGAATGAGGGGAATTTCTCTAAACTTTTTTCCTCATTAAAAATATGTATTTTACAGTATTTCACTGTGAAAAACAAAGCCAGTTATGACATGGCTATCAGAAAAGTTCAGTCTAATTGTTTTAAATGTGACCTTTTTAAAAAATATTGTCCACGAGCTGCAAGAGTTAGCATGTTTCATCTTTACTCAGCTGTCTGTTTTTGTTTTAAGTCAGAAAAATCAACTGAAACTCACCTCAGTGTTAGAATTATGACTCCTGGTTCATGACCAGCCCCAACCCCAAATCCAATATGGCTGCCTCACAAAGGCAAAGTGGTAACAATAACTAATTGTATGTAATGATAGCAGTTTATTTTCACTTTTGTTTTGTAGCTCAGTAAATCAGTTGTACACATAATATATTAAAGCTCTATTATTAAAAAAACATGTTTCCAAATAATGCAGAGAAGGACATACATGGCTGCTTGTTACTGAGCATGATTATCAAAGCCTTCAGTGTTTTTGAGTGGTAAGTGGAACACGGTGAAGTTGTGAGTGGAGTCATTCCCAGAGATCCGTTCTGACTTTAGAGGCAAAATAAATGCAGAATAAACAGTTTACTGAGTGCTATCCACTGGGGCTGCTAACCTGACTAATTAGCTGATTAACTTGCTAACGTCAATTTAGAACTATTCTATCTAGACTGTGACCCTGGGTTTTTGATCTGCTCAGAGACGGATTATAATGAGATTATGACCCGGTTCTGACCAGTTTAAAAAGGGCCAACAACTCTACTCCCAGGGATTCAATATCCGTCAAGGAATAGAGCTTTTATTTATTTGTTATTTCTTTATTGGCTCGCCACATCCCACAGGCTTTTTCTACACCGTGCCATTTTTCCTGACACGTCAGACCACTCAGTCTGCCCCTCCTATCCACATTGATAGGCTGCGCTCCCGGAAGAAGGCAGAGCCAAGGCCCAATATAGTTGGAAGGCAACGTGTCATCCAGCCCCTTCCGAAGATCTCGCGTCGAATTCTATCGGAGAGGCCAGCGCTGTAAACTGTAACCTTCTCCTGTCTTGATTTAATACAACTGGTAAACTGAATTCACGTTTCCTTGATTTATTGAGATAGTGTGAGTTACTACTTCTGAGGGAGTCCGAGCCAGGAGCCAGGTGAGCTGGAGGGGGGCCTGGGGTCCGAGATGAGGCCTAAGACCCACAGCTAGCAACAGCTAGCACAGCAGCTCGGGAGGCCCGCAACACTTTCAACATTACAAACAAACAAAACAAAAAACGAACAACTGAACTCTCTGTGCAATAGACATGCTTACTTTGGGATGCTTGCATATTTTTGTTTATTTCATATCTTTTTGTACATTTATTTTAAAAATCACAATAATGTTTAAAACAGTTCACTGTGCTCCTCATTTGAGCAGACATCAGAATCAGAATAAGCTTTATTATCATTGCACCGAGATACAACGAGAACATGTACATGCAGTCGTCTGAAAGATGGACGTGTGCACAAAGCTGCTAATATAACTAAGTGTGGCCTTCTTATCCTTTTTCAGAATAATAATCTTAGATAGGAAAAGGGGGAGAAACATGAGGGTAGACAGTGGTATTACAAAAAAAGATCTTTCACATCTTGTCTATCAGGACACGATTTGAGACATAAAAAAAAAAAACCTCTACCAGCAGCACAATTAAAACATGATTACATTTGCATTTGACATCAAGTGTGTTGAGATTAGTCTATGAGCACTTTTCAGATCAGCCACAGTTTCTGAAGATGTTGTTTCAGCCGTCAGTTCTGATAAGCTTGCACAGAAAGTTCTCCGGGTGGGGGGTGCGATACACTTGAAGCTTTTTGTCCTTGGTTACCCATGACCCAGGAGAAATTTGATAATCGGCCCGTCTCCGAGGCCGTCGGGGAGTCAGATTTAGATAAGCTTGATTCTTGTTTTTCTTCAGGCAGACAGATTACTTTTTCCTTCAGCCTTGAGTCCATCTGGACGTTCTGGTTCTGAAAATGCCTAATTGTGGGATTCCATTCCACTGATCCATGCCATGAGTCTCCCTCAAGGTCGAACCCACCACGCTGATGAGTCCCAGAAGCCGCAGGTGGCCTGCGATTCTCATAAATCGCCTCCACCTTACGGTTTAGCTCGTAAACCAGATGATTCAGAGTTCCTACTGCACGGACCAAACCTTCACACTGACTTGGAAGCTTTTCCATGGCCGAAACTGCTGTCATAAACTTTTATGTCAGTACTTGAGACTGAAGCAGGGTCAACTCGTGGTTTTGTTGTTATACAGACAGAATCCCACACACGCCCGTTCCTAATTCACTGTTTTTATTAGAGCCTGACTGATGCATCGGTAGGGCTGATATTTAAAAAAATATATATATTTTTTAGCCTTTATTTATCCAGGTAGTCTCATATACATACTGGGAACAAGCCATGTTCTTACTGGCAAAAGGCGTAATTCTACAATGTATCCAGCAGAGGGTGCAAGCAGCCTACTATGACCATTCACTTTAAGTTTCACTTTCATTTTCAGCACAGCTGAAGCAGGGAGCAATACTGTGTGGTGTATTTTGCTGAACAGAGCATGACAAATTTACTGTAACTGATCTGTAAAACAAATCAACAATAATAAATTCTCTTCAATCCTCCAACCCACTTGTCATTAGCTACATGCCTCTCAAGTTAGCAAGCTAACATTTAGATAACCTAGCATAGGCTATTGCCTTGTAAGACTTTATCCATAACAATAAATTTAACGTAGAGATAAAACACATCAGCGTTAGTAACGTTATCTTTGTTGTACTCAGTGAATGCATCGCTTGTCTGAAATCTTTATTTCTCTACAAAGAAAAATAAACAAATAAACTTCAATACTAATTAGGCCTTCACCATACGTGACTGCTGAAACAATTTTGTAGCACACTTGATAACTTTATCGTGAACGGTGTAGGATAGAAAATGTGAACGCACATTAGGAAGACTGTTTCAAGACAGGTTTAAAAGTTGCTGTTTTATAAGATTCTTGGTGGTGGACAAAGCTCAAAAATTTGCTGCCAAGTTTTCAGTTATCGGCATTAGGCTTCCCCTCCCAATATCGGTATGGACAGTAGCCAAAATTTTCATATCGGTCAGGCTCTAGTTTATATTGTCCTCCCAACCAACAATAACCGTTAATCAGATGAGATTTAAATAAAAATATATAATGATTAGCTCTCCATGTCTGTCTAAAAACTTGTATTGAGTAAACGTGTGAAAAACTTGCCTGCGTACTCTCTGGTCCTGGCGTCACATTCAGACCAGTTGCAGCCATGTAGGTGCTGCCGATGGTCTTTATCTTCTCCACGCCGCTGAACTTTGGCTTCGACAGCAGCTGTGAACAAAACCGCACCAACAAGCTCTCATTTAAACAATGGAATATCTTCCTGCTTCTTTTGTTGAAGCCTATTTGTAACGCTGCTTAAAAAAAAAAAAAGCAGCAGGATTATGATGATTTTTTTTTTATTCTATTTGGTGACCAGGATTATCAGTAAGAGAAAAGTTTACCTCATCAAAGTCTGCTATGATCTCGTTGAGAAGTCGGAGGCACTCCAATCCTTCCTTATTGACATCAGACTCCGTATAAAACTCTTTGAAGTCTGGGATGGAGGCGAACATCACACACACAGTCTCGTACGACTGATGATAAAGGTCCTGATAACAGAGAAGAAGAAGAAAACACCGGATGTGTTGTACAGATCGAATAGAAGGATGAAGAAAGATGGCCTGTGGTTTCAATGAGCCTCAAAAATCCATGACCTAAATGCCTCATACTGACACTTACTCCTTAAATAAATAAGAAGACGCTTTAATCATCTCTGTGGGAACACTGGGCCATTGCAGCAGCCGCAAAAATAAATAAATAAATAAATAAAAGCAGCATTCATCTTGTAAAAAAACCAGAAGTGAAAACAGGGCAACTGGAGGGAAACTTAGGAACGAATAGTGTCTCTGAAAAGTAGGTCTCACTTCACACTGCGCTGATGCAGAGTAGCTATGGCAGAGAAATTAATTCATATTATTCTGGAAAGAAAGAGATGATGATGGCAACAGTTAAAGAAAAAACACAACTATAAGATTTCTGATGACATTTAGAAGGATGCCTGAAATTCAAACTGGCGTCCGCTTTCGTCTATAAAGCCCTTTAGTGTTTCAGGACTCACTATTGTAATAATCTGGGCCGAAGTTTTGATGTCTAAACGCTGAAAGAATGGCAAAAAAGTTTCAGGTATCAAAATTCATTCAACCTTTATTTATACAGGTTAGTCCCATTGAGCCTCGGGGACTCGTTCACAAGAGCGACCTGATTTTAACAAAGAATGAAGACAACAGTGGGCAATCATAAAAAACATACAAATTGAGAAGAACAAATGAAAAAAAGGCATAAAACATTACAACAAAACAGCTTGATTGTAAAGCGATATTAATGGAAAATAAATGGTAAGGCTGCTCTGCTGCTAGTGGCTCGTTACGGTCACCATGGAAACCAAACACCTTTTAAGCTTTAAACAGTCACTGTGCAAAAACAATAAGTCAGAATAAATAAAGTATTGAACAGTAAGTGGCACAAGCATCTGGTTGATATGATAAATTACTGTAAAATAATAATATTTAATAATAATAATTCTGAGCTCAGACACAATGGAAGTCAATGAGCATTTGGATGTGTGCACTCTGATGTCCCATAGCTGTGAGAGAACAAGGACAAAAATGCTCACTTGTCTATAAACTATATTTAAAGTGTAAAGACTGAACATAAGAGTTTTATTTTTATTGGCAAAAATTTGGAAAACTAACTTAAGACTTTTAACCAGCTGGTAGAGACATTGGTTGGGGTGAAATGAGTCATAACTTAGTAAAAAGTCAGACCCATGATCTGCTAATATACTGTAGATGACAATTTTTTCTTCTATACTATTGCCTTCGTGGGTCCACTAAAACAAGAACTGATATACATTGTTGGAAGAAATTATGGGAAATAATGAGAGGGGTTGAGGATTGTTGGACCATCTTTGTGGTTTTAAAGCTATTATTACATCTCATTCACCTCATTTTTCCAGTTGCGTCCCAGGAAGTGTTCCGCAACATGAGCCGGTAAAACGTTCTCCAGCAGAACCCGGTTGAGGTTCTCCATGGTTTCGATCTCCTCACACTCCCTCTTGAACTTGTCCCTCCACAGGAAGTCCAACCTACAGTAATACTCATTCTGTAACAGCAGGACGAAGAACAAAGAAACAGAAAACTAATTTTTCAGTAGCAACTTGTACCAAAAGCAGCAATAAAACAAGAATGACCTTAACCACAGAGCAGACGTTATAAAACCACAGATGTCAGGGGTAAGCTCCCTTTCTCTCTTTCACATTCCACGAAGACGGTCATTCTTACCCTCCCTCCTGCTTTTTTGCTCTCTTGTTCTGTGAACCTCAGAGCCTCTCTTTACACTTCTTCAGACTTGAAAATTATAATGGATTTGGTCAGCTGGTCCCTTAATGCAGTTGATAATTTTTTTCCACCAGACGACAGGGTGCTGGAGAGCCCTCACGCCCTGAACGGACCCACGCAGCTGGGCATGTCATTGATTCCTGGAGTTAGTGGAAGATGGTGTGTCTGTCTTTTCTGTCCATGGAGGACGTAGAAGATGTGCACATTATTGGATTTATGATAACAGGGTTTCTGCTATTTGGAATCAGTGGATACCTTGGATATCGACAAATTAGGAAGACGCCGGCAGCAGTTTCAGTCGTGGTAAAGCTGCCAGCCTTATGTGAAGGACTAATCCATGCCTCGAGCTCTCAGACTCATATGCTTAACAAACTCAACCACAAGCTGGACGTGATTTCTGAGACTCATAGGCCACTTGCAGCTCCTGGAACTCACCAGCATGAAGGTTGCAATCTTGGAGAATGCTAAATTGAGCTCGGACCGAGCGGAATGTCCACAAATCTGGCTGTTTGGATTCACCATTGAGAGCACCAGCAGAACTTGAAGGCAGACTGAAAACAGAGTCTGGTGGCTCAAACAATTGTTGTTTATCTGAATTTGACCTCCCCGCTGGCCTTGGACAGGCCAACTTATCTCAAATTGCTCCTGGAGGATACGTAAACTAGAAGCTGTGCCTGCGCCCCCCCCGAACAAATGTGGCCTTATCAGAACCATGCTGCTGATAGACATTGTACCATCTTATCAGAACTCTCGAGTGTTTATGGATAACTCACCGGCTTTGTCAACCACTATGCATAAATGTATTATGATGTCATTGTATGTTGCAAATTTATGCAGTGGTCTTTTTTTATTTTTCATCTTTCACACTGTTTCCCAGCTAGGAAATGGTGTGAGACATCATTTTTTTGGCTTCCTCCATCCTCTTCTTCTCTTTTTCTCATCTGCCTGTATGTTGTATGTAATCAGGTCTCTCTTGCAAATGAGTCTTCGATGGGAACTAACCTGTATAAATAAAGGTCTAACAATAATTTTTAAAAAGCTGCTTATTTTTTTTAAATGATTGCAAGAAGAAAGCAAAGCTTTTGCATTTTAGGCCCAGTTTATCCATCCATCCATCCATTTTCTTTACCCGCTTATTCCATTTTGGGTCACGGGGGTCGCTGGTGCCCATGTCCAGCAATCACTGTGCGAGGGGCGGGGTACACCCTGGACGGGTCGCAAGTCCATCACAGGGCCACACAGAGACAAACGAGACAAACAACCATTCACTCTCTCACTCACACCTAGGGACAATTTAGAGTTACCAATCAGCCTAACATGCATGTTTTTGGACTGTGGGAGGAAACCGGAGTACCCGGAGAAAACCCACGCATGCACGGAGAGAACATGCAAACTCCACCCAGAAAGGCCCCTGGACCGGGGTTTGAACCAGGGACCTGCTCGCTGAGAGGCAGCAGCTCTACCAGTTGCGCCACCGTGCTGCCTAGGCCCAGTTTAAACAAGTGAAAATAAAGTGAATTTGTTTTCTTCATAGAGAATTAGCATCAGTAAAATGACAATCAAACAATTGTCAGCTGCTCTGTTACTGCTCCAGGAAATAGACTGGACTGTTTTGCATAAAACAGTCATCACAGCTTTTTTTTGTGCGTTTGGGTTATTCATGCTTGAGGTAGCGTTGAATACATCTGCATATGTGAGGAAGACTCATACCGAGGTCAAGACATCCTGGATCTGTGTTATCGAGTCTCTCAGGGCTCCATGAAGACCATTTTCGCACAACACTATGTTTGAAGGCTCCGAGCTACTTGTGGGTTGTTTCCTACAGTGCATGTGGAGCTGTGTGTGACTTGTGAGATCTGCTTTATATGTGCTGTTAGCAGCCTGAATGATCACACATAACGTTCTTTTGAAAACGAGTACAAATTTAGAAGGTACCAACACTGAAAGGTTACATCACGTTGTTTTTAAACTCTTGAGCTACTGAGTTTCTATCCCGAGGATGGAAAAATAACTACAAAAATGTCCAGGTGTGTTAGGATAGGTAATTTATATGATTTGTGTCTTGTATCTTGTAAATGGAGAGAGATATTACAGCACGCCAATGGGTGCAGAAAGTAGGCCAAACGAAATGGAGCTCATTTTAAATGCTGTTCAGAGAGCAGCTAACGAGGATGTACTGTAAATGAGTTTTGCTCCACTGTGCATCTGTTCATGAGGGAAAGCTCACTCACTGACGCTGTGTTCTTCTAACCTGATATCTCCTCCTTTTAGAAATGTACTTTAAAAGCTTGATTAGCGATGACAAAAAACATTTCTAAGAAAGTTTAACGCCTGAAAGCATGTAAAAATTATATCTAGTACTGACGTAGACTTAAAAGAATGGGTAAGAGCAAGACTACTCGTAAAACATTTGAAGTCATCCTAAAATTATTGACTTCAGTTGAACAAGCTCAGTGCTGAGATAATTTAAACCATTTTGCTCCACTCTTAAAAAACATGGCATTTTTTATTTTAATTTTAATTTTTTTTCCTTCTTGCTCTCGGTGAAGGCAGATGCTTTTTCCTCATGCTGTCATAGCTCTGCTCTCTGTCAGCTCCTCTGTCATGCTGCACACTCAGTAATCACTCAACTCATGTCACCTGTCACCGCTCATTATCCCACAGCTCCACCACCTGGTCCAGTCAGTACTTAAGCTCACTCATTCCTCTCAGTCTGGGCCAGATTCTCTATCCTGTCTCATCAGCAGTAGACTTTCCAGCATTCCATTGATTGACTCATCACGTTCATGACCCTTGCCTTGACCACGACCACGCTTTTGCCTCAGCCCTCGTCTGCTTTTGCTCATCTGATCAGGTACCGACTCATGCTCTTGTTTTTTGACTCTCTTTTTGGATCACGTACTGGATACTTCTGCTGAACAACTGACTTCACGGTATGAACTCTGCCTTTCCCTTCTGACTGTTTTTTGGATCACGGATTAAAGGTCAAGCTCATTCTGTATCACAGACTTATCCTTACCCCTGAATCTGATTCCCACAGATTCATTTCCCCAATTAGTCTCTTTCCCCCTGCATCTACTAACCTTTATCTTTTAGTTGCAAGCCTGTTGGACTCCGTTCCAGTGGACCTTAACATCAGTTCTACTTCTACTGGCAGCCCGCCACTACAACACTACCCAATCACGAACTACCAATCAGAGGATCGGAACCAGCCCAGAACCGGACCTACTCCAGAGTTTTAATTTATTTCACAATAAATCTTTTAACCCTCTCAGTGGTTGTTGTTGTTGTTTGCGATCCGGCCTCTGGTTCATGACAGTAGAATCTGGCCATTATGGATCCAACACCAACCCGAGAGTGGTGCTCTAAGGTAGAAGGGGCTGTTAGTAAACTTGAGAAAGGGCTTCAGGAAATGGTTGTTTCTCTTCAAGCTTTGTCCCAACAGTCAAACCAAGTCATCAACCAAACCCTGTTGACTCCTGCACCAAGAGAACCACGGTTAGCCCCCCCTGAACATTTCAGAGGTGAGCCTGAGCAATGTCGACCATTTTTGACTCAGTGTGACATTCAATTTCAATTGCAACCTTCATGTTTTCCCACTGAGCATGCTAAAGTAGCTTATGCTGTCTCACTTCTCGCTGGAAGAGCCAAGACGTGGGGGACTTCTGAATGGTTAAAAGGTGGCGTGGTATGTCGTAATTTTTCTGAATTTTCCAAAGAGTTGTGTCGGGTTTTTGACCCCATCCTCCCTGAGAGAGAGGCAGCCCGAAGAATTTTTGATATTAAACAAGGCAAGGATTCTGTAACCAAATACATCATTCACTTTCACTCTGTTTCAGCAGACAGTCATTGGGATGAACACGCACTCACTGACGCCTTCTTCAGGGGGCTTAATGAAGATGTTAAGGATGTGCTGGCAACAATGGACTATCCCTCATCCCTACGCCAGCTGGAGGAGGTGGCCACCCGTGTTGACCTTCGCCTGCGTGAGCGTGACCGTGAACAGAGTCGAGGCAAGGCCACAGCCATGTCCAGAACCAGACATCACCTTGTGGATCATGAACCTAAAACGGAACAAACCAAGAGCCCTCAGGATCCTCTGTATGCTACGGAACCCATGCAACTAGGAAGAAGTCGTCTGGCCACCCAGGAACGAGAACGTCGGAGGAGGTACCATCTCTGTTTTTATTGTGGTCAAGGCGGTCATGATTGTCATCATTGTCCAGTAAAAGGCTCAGCAGGAGAAGAGAGGCTCCTGTTGAGTCTTAGTCATAAGATCAAGTCCTCTCCACCTATCATGTCCAAGTCCAAGGTCAAGTTCATAATAAAGGGTGGTCAACCCGTCATCGTCTCAGCTTTTATTGATTCAGGGGCCGACACGGAATTCATTGATAAAACCTTTGCCAAATCCATAGATCTGACCATTGTTCCATCACCTAACAACCATAAGGTCCTCGCTTTAGATGGTCATCCTTTAAGTCAATCTAGTCTTGAAACTGTTCCAGTCACCATGGTGTCGGCCAACAACCATTCGGAACTGATCAGATTCATTGTTATTGATTCACCCCAACTCCCAGTGGTTTTAGGTTCCACTTGGTTACGCAAACACAACCCCCAAATCGATTGGAGGAACCAAGAGATTGTAGGATGGGCTAATGAGTGTTATTCTACATGTATTCAGAGCCAACCCAGTTCACCAGCCCTTGTCACAGCCAATGAGGAGACCTATCCTAATCTAAGTCAGGTACCTAAAGAGTACCATGA